GCCCGTGGTTGGTTCCGGCAATCAACCGGCTCGCACAGCCTCCTTGTCCTCTTCCCTTGCTGCCACGGACACCTATCATGCTTTCGCTTGCCAAACTGCGGGCTCTGCTCACTCGTCCCCAGGAGCTACATCGGCCTGTACTGCCCTCGCCATTATCTCTCCCACTCGAGGTCTGGGAGCTTGTGCTAGAGGAACTTGGCGACGAAGGTCTCGTAGTCGCCGCCCGTGTCTGTCGCGCTTTCAACGACCTTTGCATTGCGATATGCCTCACCAGGAACGAGATTTCCGCGAAATCATTTGATGGCGGCATCCTCAACATACATTCCCGCATCCTTTACGTCCTCCAGCTTTCGCGATTGACCCCCCAAATCCATACCCTTGTCTGCCACTTTTGGATCTTTCGCGTTCTCCGGAACATGAAATTTCTACGACACTTTGTGGTACGATCTCATGAAATCAAAGAGCTGCAATTGTCATTCGCTGGCAACCTCATTAACACGCATAAAATCGACACTTCATTTCCCTATTCCCAGCAAGCGTTGCTGACCGAATTCTGCAATGTTCTCCGAGCGATGGCAGCGAAGACCCGTGGCCCAGTTGTCGTTGTCATCGCTTCCCACATCTATCGCCTTCGCTCCCGCGATCTCGCGAACTGGGGCTTGCGATACTTCAAATACTGGAGCCACCCGTTCGGATACGTCGCGTGGATAGACAGGATACGCTATGCCTTGAAGCCGGAAGTCACAGAGCCCAACCTCCTTATGCTCGTATCCCCGACCCACCGCGGGCGTAGGAAATTCAGGTGCACAGAGAAACTTCAATCCGTCAACGTCCGAGCCATACCGGCGGCGTCAGATAGAACTGAATCATTCACATTCATGACGTTCACCACGGACACCGAGACATTTCTGGAGTTTGGCACTCCGTGGTGGTCCTCTTCTCCGGGGGTTGTCCCTGGATCACAGTTAACTTCGATCATCCCCCATATCACCATGACGTCGCTCCGGAATCTCCGCATCAACGAAGATGTAGATCCCAAGGCACTCGGCGAGTTCCTCGCTCGACATCATAGCATTCGGCACATCGATTACGGTGCAACCGAATCCCCAGGCGCGAGATGGCCGAATGTCAAACGATCCGACGGTTCGGTCAGCTGTAGACTGTTAACCAGTTTCCCCCTCGCGCTACCGTGTCTCACATCGCTGAGCTGCCGCGACCCTGCCCAAATTATTCCACTCCTCGATAGCTTCGACCTGTCCCCACAGCTCTCCAGCATTAAAATAGGGCTCGAACGGCAATCCCCCGATAGCGTCAGCGCGCTCAAGCGCGCCTTCCGCCGGCTCTCCCTCCGCACTGCGCCGCTCTCCTTCACTATCAGCGCGTGGCGCGCGAGCGAGCACCCCTGGGAGCCCATTAGCGAAGAGGAACGCCAAATCACGGGCTGTGTTTACTGCATCCATGACGTCTACATCTACGCGCGCGACACAGCGGATGCGCAGCTGTTCATCCCCTGGCTCGGGATGTTGCCTGCCCTCTCCCGATTGGTGCTGTCCATTTATGCGTTGTGGCGGGACGATGGTGCTGCAAGACCAGCTTTGTTACAAGAATTTAGGGCGGCTTTGCCTTGGGTCCCTGAGATTGAGATCCACGGGTGAGGAAAGAGATCTGGCTTGAATGTCGCGCTCTAGTTCCACTATTCCTCTTCGTACTGACGGGCTATGTCCGCTAATCAACGTCTCTCCATCCAGCTGGACCCATTCTCTCCCAACGCTGCACCGACTTCTCCACCCTAAATTTCCCGCTGCAGGCCAACCCCATCCCCGGCTTGTGACGCTTGTGGCGCATCTAAAGAAACTCGCACCCACTACCTCCTTCACTGCCCGCCCCACAAGCTCGCGTCGCACAACGCCGGTGTCCTCGGGTCTGTCGACATCCGTTCCCTTCTCTCAAACCCCAAACTCGTCAGCATATCACCCTCCAGTTCGTCATCTCAACTCGACGCTTTGTCAACGCTTTGTCTAATTTGGTCTTGTCCCTCTTTCGTTCTTTTTCTTTCTTATTTACTTTACATGTCATATAATACTCCCAATCTCTTTACGAACCAGAAACAACCCGCATCCATCGAAAATCTCATTGTTTACCTCTCGCTCATAAAAATTCAAACCGGAGATTGCCGAATTTAGGCACAGCCGAGGTGCTACTCGACTGCTAAAGTATCAAGTTCGACACAAATCACACTGAAATCTAAGTTGGTTCAACTAGTTTCAGTCCGCAAATCAGCTTTGATTTCGGTGTGATTTATTCCGAAGTTGATACTTTGGTGTTCAAGTAGCACCTCGGCTGTGCCTAAATTTGGCAATCTTGCCTGGGCATATCTGTGCAGGGGGGAGTGGCGAGCATAGGTGTGTGCCCCGGCAAGTTTGCCAAATTTAGGCACAGCCGAGGTGCTATTCGAGCACCAAAGTATCAACTTCGGAATAAATCACACAGAAATCAAAGCTGATCCACAGACTGAAACTGCTTGGATCAGCTTAGATTCCAGTGCAATTTGTTTCCAATTCGACTCTTTGGCATTCGAGTAGCACCTCGGCTTTGCCTAAATTCGGCAATCTCCGGTGTGATTCCGTCTCCAGATCCGATCCGAGTCAATCAACCACAACACAGCCAAACTTCACTTTCTCCTTTCCTCTCCACACCGCGGAAGCTCATCCCTTTGCACCATGCCCGCATTGGCGGCAGAGCTGGTCGATTTGATCATCTCATGGCTGCTCCCCATTCCCCTTCAAGCCGGGAATGACGAGGAGAATTTCCTCGACAAATCCACGGCCGCCGATGTGGGAACCTGCGCCCTCGTCTGTAGATCCTGGGTCCCCTCCAGCCGCCGTGCGCTTTTCTACAGGGTTCACGTCGCAAGACACACTGCCGACGCGTTCGCAAAGCTATTGTCGTCCCCCACGTTCCTCCCTTTTATCAGAGAGTTGGAGTTCCGGGAGGAGTTTGCAAAGACCCCCTGGATAAACACGGTATTCCCCTTCATAGCGACACACCTCTCACCGTCAATCCGCACCGTCGTCCTGTCACTCGAAGACAAGGCTCCCCGACCGCTTCCTCCGTGCCCAGTCATCCACGCGATAACACACCTCGTCATCCAACACAAATATGCCCCTATTCTTACCGACATCGTCGCATGTCTCGCGTCGTTCCCCGCGCTCGAGGTACTCAAACTGTGGCTCGGTAACTCAACGCCCTCACATGCGGGAAACATGGTTCTTCCACGTGAACTGCCCGCCACGCTGTCGTCCTTGCGGTCATTCGATATTCGATATCGCCCCGATATGGAACCCCTCCTCACGTTGATCCAGCAAAGTTGTCCGATAGAAGCCCTCGCCCTCTCCTTCCCACGCCATCCCCCAAGCGCCGACTCATTCCGATATCTTTTCCAGTATATCGAAACGCTGGGTCCGTCCTTGACATCACTAAGCATTGCCTTCGATGATTTGGCTTGGCACGAGAGTGGGTACTGGCTCGTCGCTCGTACCAGAGCTGTCTTACCATCCTGCGCAGGTTTACTCCCTTCGTTCCCCCGCAACTTTCTCAGCCGTAACAACCGCCTCCAGGCGCTGTCCATCCGCTCCACCGCCTGGCACACCATGGGGATCCTGCGGTCCACGCACTTCTCCCCCGTGCTGAAGTGCGTGACGGTGTGGGTCCCGGCGCAGCACATCACCGTGGCATCCCCACTGGACAACACGGACTTCTTCGCGTGGTATTCGCTTGATCTCGATCCCATCATCGCGCCGCTCAGTAACGTCGACCGACTGCACATCGTGTACTACGGAGACATCCCCGTCGTAGCACAAGCGAGAGCGCTGCTCGACGGCCCGCCGACGTACCTCCGGTCTTGGCTGCCGCGCTGCGACGCGCGGGGGATCGTCACTGAGGATGCAGTGCGCGATCAGCATCGCGGGTGGTGGAACAGCCCGAGCACTAGATTTTGGTAACGCGAACATTTCCTGGCACCATCTGGGCGGCTTTTAGGCAGCAAGGGAAACTCGGAATCGGAATTGAACTGTTCCGCAGTATCTAGGCGTTAGGAATCCCTCTGGTACGTCTCCGGCCCGAGTCCGGCACTTCCAATACCATCCAATACCGTGTGTCGTCGATATACTGCCGTTCACGCTCGCCACGCATTCTCGAGATAACGCGACGGAGTGCGTTGGGGGGCACTGTACCGTTTGTTCATACTCAATTGAGTACCATCTCTTGATCCGTCAGCAGACCTCTCATACTCACCCTCGTCCGTATTGAGTCTCAATGGATCGGTTTTCCCGCCTCGGATGTACTTCGAATTTCTCTCCGAAAGTTCGCTCGCCTGGGCCGCGATTATTAATGACTCGGCAGTCTCATGTTCAGGGTACTGACTCCAGCATTTGGCTAGGTTCAACTAGCCAAAATTAAAGGCGGGGTCGCACGCGGTGTGCATCAGAACGCCGTTAGTGTGGTAATTGTGGATTGATTGATTAGACGGTGCCCGTTTGACTCGGGCCCCCGCCAAATGAGAAGGCACACCTTTTTCTTCGCGCGCATGGTTTCACTCAGATTTTGGAGCTGATTCCTTCATATACTCCACAAACAGTTAACAAAGGAACGGGGGGCAAGGAAAGGCGAGGTAGCACGCGGTGTGCCTTGGGCGCAAATGAAGCGTTGCGATCTTTCCTCCCCTGAGGACCCCGTTCGACTCGGGTCCCCGCCATATAAGGAGTGCCAAAAATCCTTTTGCTTCGCGCGCAGAATTCCATGCTGATTCTTCCATATACTCCCCGAGAATTCACACACCGCAGGCCTTTGCTCTACTCCAGAAATCCTTTATTGCGAGCCGAGTTTTCTGACTCCGCTGTCTGTGCTTAATCCGTTGAATCTCGCCCAAAATTCAACTCGGATCTCCAACCTCATCTCGGGGCAGCCGATCAATCTATGGAGGTGCAGAAGGGGGAGGTGAAGGCGGGGTAGCACACGTGCATCAGTGCATCAGTGAAGCATGAGACCTGACTTGAAAGTTACTTCAGCCTGAAGACGTCCGTTCGATTCGGGCCCCTGTCACTGCGCCAGAGCGACGTGCCTTTTTGCAGAGACCCGGGTTGATCGTGACCCCGAGCGAAGTTGGACGGGATTTTCTGACATCTGCGGGCATGGGTCGATATTGGAGCGATGCGAATTCTTTTCTAGGTGCAGATACTTCATGTGCGGCCTTGGTATCCTCGTCGGCGCGAGGCTGCAAAATTGGCGGTTTAATTCTGATTTAGTGAAGATAGGTTGAATTATGGTGCATGGAATAAGGTACGCACCAGAGCAGGAAAGGCGGGGTAGCGCACGGTGTGCACCGGGACTAAATTAGGGTTATGATTTGGAACCTACTCGGAGGAGTCCGTTCGACTCGGGCCCCCGCCATGATGCAGCGCGATGGCCAAAGTTTTTCTTCGGACTGCGAGGGGCATTGATTGACACAGGCGGGGTGCGCGAAATGCATCTAGATCGTCTGGACTTTCTAGATTTCTCGTGGCAGAGCTCGGTCGCGCGAATGCCAGAATGATTTTCTTTTTCAACTTTCAGACCACTAACAATGTGAGCTCAAATGTAGTCCATAAAACGATGTGTACACCAGAGCAGGGAAGGCGGGGTAGCACACGGTGTGCTTCCGTGAACTGTAACATCCAGGGTCAACCGTGTACCGGAAGGAGCCCGTTCGACTCGGGACCCCGCCCTCATCCCTCTCCGCACTTTTCACTTTTTTTTCTCCCCTTGGACGCGCGCGGCTTCACGCGTCTGGGATATAATACAGACATATTTCAGCGAGCCACAAATGTCAACTATGCTTCGGAAGCCTTGATATCGTTCCCTACCGACGTGGGCACGGGTCCGTTGGTTACAGAGATCTCGAGGATGTGTGTTGAATTCGGGTGAATATAATGGGGTGCGTACCAATGCAGGGAAGGCGGGGTAGCGCACGGTGTGCACCGGGAGAAAGTTACACATGTCAAGAAGGGATGGCCTGGTTGCAGTGGTAGAACCAGATCCCAGACTCCCGAGGCTCTAGCACATTGCACTTGAAAATGAGGCAGGACTACTAGTATCCAAAGATGACAAGCAGTGGAATAGTTCGTTGCTCCGCGTTCACGGTGAGACAATCATCTCAGCCTTGAAGAGTCGAAAAAAGGACCTCTCTGGGTTGGTGTCATTGATCGCCTGTTTGTTTTTGCTGTAATATTTTTCGTATCTATTGTCAAAATATGATGGGAGCAGTACACGATAGAGGCGCAAAGCATTGAATTCATCTCAAACTGGCCGCCTTTGAGCCGAAACGGCGGCAAGCAAGTCGGCAAATTTGGGGGAGCCCCAACCAGCTGATGAAGATATCGGTCAATGCTGTTACTTAATTTTTCAATGGGATGCTTAGAGTGGATCCCATCCAACCGCCGCGTCAAACGTGACCTAATGAGAAAACTCAGGAAGATGGACATCCCAAACTAACTGCAGAGACGTACCGAAGATGCGGGACACTCGAACCCCGAGTTATGGCCGATCGTGATATCGCTGAACGCCGTCGATGCCGTGGAATAGAGCCAAGGGTTGAGGAAACCCAAAACGGGCTTTTCAGCGGCCATCAGCCGGTCGTTTATAAGGGCAATGCTGAAAGAACGTGAGTTGCTTGATAAATACGGAGATACGTTTCAATTGGAACTGTGACGGACATTCCAGCAAAGGTTGGCGAAGATGCACTAGTTCTGCTTACAATTCCGTGCCCGCCGTCGAAAATCATCTTTGAGAAGAACGAGGTTAAGAGTGGGAGGTCAGGGAATAGAGACTAAAACATACCTCGAAATTACACCCTTGCACTGCCACGTCAGGATACCCTCGACCGGTCCTGTTGAAGGTTCCTGCGAAACTAGACGGAAGCGTTTCGAGGAAACCCGCGATCGTGGCGGATTGGTATGAGGGGGCGGGGAAAAAGTTGGCAAACCCGCCACCCGTGAAATTGGCGGCTATTTCAGGCCCGAAGCCTATTGTAGATCCTACGGCCGTCACAAATGGACACACCGGTGGAAAAAATGGATCGAAGGTATTGACACAACCGAAAGAGATATCGTGGTCTCCGTGCACACCACCCTGGAGAGAAATGTCAGATTTGTGAAATCGAACGACACGTGACTTACATCTCCAGACGAAGTCAGCACAGATATACCGCGCGAACCAAGCGCCATGTAGCCGTTGCAGATCTTGCTGCAAAGACGTCAACACTTTGAGGTTAATCTGTAAATATCAAACTACGGACGTGGCCATGCTGATTCCAAAGTCGGACTCCGAGGAGCTATACGACGTTGTCATGACGGAGGGGGGATTGTCAATGCCGTCGAGAAAAATGGTCGTGTCTAACAATGCTTGGGCGAAGCCGTCGCTACTTCCCGAACCCCCAAAAGAAAGGAACTGAGAGGGAGCTTGGTCTCTCGCACATAGACGCGTCAACAATTTTCAATCTCGTACCATAGTCGGAACTCCAGTTGCAATACCTGCAGAAGGGTAAATTTCCGAACCATGTATTGCGAGAAAGAAATACCCATGGCGTATTGGATATCAAGGCCAGCCTCCGCGCCGGCAACGGATGGGTTCTGTGGGTTCGTTCCGTTATCGGCGGTCAACAGACTAAATGTCGTGTTAGATGGGATATCGGGCCGCAAGAGGCTAAGGAATGTCTGATCGAGCGATATCGGCCCAGTCAAACCAGCGAGTAATAGAACCACCAACCGAAAGATCTGCACTCTGAGCGAACTCTCCAACGTAGCCAGTAACGAAGCGTATTGTTCGGCTGCGTGGCCGGCGCAGTAGGAATCCCGTAAATATCTTGGAGACAGGCAGGTGTGATAATACCGGAACCGATACTGGTGTTGCAAGACGCAGCAGGATCACGCTTCTGAAGGTTGACATTTGTCAAAGGCGTCAGGCGAGGGTTGGGATCCACGAAATCGATACTAGGGGATATCACATCGACGTGTCCGACCAGTTCGAACGGAAGCGACACAGAGAGTGTTCGCGTGAGCATTTGTGTCGAAGACACGTGTGTGAATACTTCGAAGTTCGCGGCGAAAAGCTTGTTGGCCTGGGAGACGGGAAGAGTGAGAGACACCCAATCCTCGTTCGGGGAGATCTCGGTGGGTTTGAGGCCATTCGCAGATGCGAACGCATTAAAGGCAGCGATGGTTTCCGCAGAAGGCCGCATGAAAGATTTGACCTTCACATTTGAATGGTTAGGTGCAGACCCCATCAGGAAGAAAAACAATGGCGAACCTCGTCCTTCGACAACCACTTTCGAAACTCAGAGCTCCCAGGCGTCGAAACGGACGCGAGTTTGGTTTGCAAGCCAGCAAGATTGTTGGGGGCCAACGCGAAGCGAAGGGCGAGCAGGTCATCTGCGGGGGCGGCGCCTTGGCTAACGAATCCACTGGGAGCGGCCGGACGATTCTCGTGAACGATCATACGGCCCGATGAGACTGCACCGAGGGAAAGGAGGACCAAGAATGTGCGGAGAGCCATCATCGCGACGCAGGATGAGGGCGAGGACGCTGTCGTTGCGGTCCACTGTGGTTCTGGCTTGTAAGTACGCCCACACCGTAATTGGAGCAAAAAGCGTGTTTTGCTCGGTGAAATCAAACCTTCCCCCCTCATCAACGCATGAAACGAGGACACGAATGACACGGATATTCTCACTACGGCGGAAAATTCCCGTTGCGCGAGGCGAGATCTCGAAGCATCACTGCGTTCCAACGGCCCGTCGGCATGATGTGTCAGAAAATGCCGACGGCAGAGAATACATATTTTGATCGGAGTGCCCTGACCGCCTCAATAGGTAGTGACTGGGGCTTGTACGGAGTAAAACAAGGGTCCTCGATGGGTTTTGATATAAAAACAGCGTTTCTGCGTCCGTTGACGCCTCCAATTCCAAACCAATAGATTCGCAACTCTGCCCACACCCACAACCCAGCCTGCGCCGGCGCCGGTGGAAGGGGCCCGGGAGGAAAGACGTGCGACACTCTACTCCTCCCCGTCGGCGGAGGCTGGATCGCCCCAGAACCTGCACCAACAAGTCAGCGCAATGTCTAATGGAACGAGCTAGAAACAGAAAACGGGGTGGGAACCACTGCGTTCAGGGGTCCCGTCGGCAGACAAAATTCAAGATCATTATGGTAATGTACGTGATATCTGTATGAACGGGCGATCTGTTTGCGCCTTGACAGCTCAAAGCGGCGTTTCTCGCGGTTAAACATCTCCGCGAATTATCCGGCTTTGGGTGGAATGAGGGTCTCAAACTCGTAGCAGCCAGCGACGATGTCTGGGAGGCATATCTCACGGTGAGTGGTGTACGCTTCTTGTCTGGACACCGTTGCCAACATTCCGGTAAAAGCACCCCAAGTCGAAGCGCTGGCGGAAGAGCCCGTTCCCGTTATACGACGATATCGCCTACCTTATAGATTACATCGTCGCCACCGGCACGGGCGCTTTTCATGCGTGTGGCACGTCCCAGACCCAAACTGAGACGGAAGGACAAACACAGACCCAATCCGATGACAAGAACACGCCCCAATTACCCATCACACCTTTGCCTCCGGTCGTCGCGGGCGTGCTGTATGGTCACAAGTCTCTATCCTCCTCTAGGATATTCGCTTACATGCTACTCATCTGCTGGTAGACCCTGCCTGATGCCCGATCAGGCCCTTAGCTTAATCGTAGAATGCCGTATAAACCCGTTCGGGGATCATGATAAAGAATCAGGTGGCGCAGTGCCTGTTTCGTGTATAAAGGAAGCGCATCTAAAGCTCTCCCACCATCCAAAAGATGCCCCATCAACCGTCTATCACCCAAATTCGCCTGACCAGCATTGTGACTTGTTTGACCCCGGCTCTACCGCTGTTGAACGAGATCCATGATGGCTTCGGCACACCGTTTATCCAAGCCATCCTGAATACGACCACCTCGTTGATCACTGCGGTCCAGGTAAAGAAAAAAATCTGATTGAATTTCATAATAGCTGATTCGAGTGCCCAGAAAAT